TTTAAAATTAAGGACAAAAGTAAACAACTTGGTCTGAAATTTTTTAAGTTCAAAGTTCAAAATGTTATTAATATCAAGTCTGTATCAGAAAATTTAATCAAAAGCAACAGGATCCCATAATATGTACAGGAAACGAAATTGATAACTTGCATTATATTTGTTAGGAACATGAATATTCATATGATTGTTTAAAAATTGCAAGTAAGTTTTTTTATTTTCTAAGCGGATATCAAATAAAAGGATAAGTTCTGACAATTTTGTTAATTTCACATCACGATATAAACTGTAATATATGTACAATATTATTTTCACTGGTCAAATTAAAGTTGCAGATGTCTGAGTTTGCAAAAGTGGTTCCTTTGACCCCCCCCCCAATACCTATCGAGAGGAAGCCCCTTGTCTACCAAAGCTTTGCAGCTCAGGTTCAATATGTGGCTTCACACAAGCCTACACATTAGCAGAAAGGAATATACGCCACTGATCTCTTATTAAAAATCATCAGCTCAAAAGGAGATGCCACCGATTTAGGTACCCCACCGATATAGGACCCTCCACGTTAAATATTGGCAAAATTATTCGGGGGAGGGCACTAACCCCCCCCCCCCAAAGAAAATATGAGTCGTTACTGCAGCCAAAACTTTGCCAGTTTGCAGTACAAAGTGGTAAAAATTTAAAACAGGCTTGAAAAGATAAACATGATAAAAGACTGTCTGCCCTATATATATTCAAATTGGGGGGGGGGGGGACTTATCAAATTTTGTCGAAATTATTTTCAAATAATTATTAATAAAATTGTATAAGGCTTTGTAAATTGATATTTGATACTTTTCTCTGAATAACCATAAAGGTATTATTAATACCATTGCAGAAAGAGATAAATTGTTTTTTTTTAAATGTTATATCACTTATATGTATCCACTGAAAACAGTTGGGGGAGGGGGCGTGTCAGTCGATCAAGGTACAGGCCATTTTTCCAATCGTTTCACCCCATCCACCTCCCTACAGCTTACATACTAATATTGAAATGGATAAAATAATGAAAAATTATAAGGGCTCTGGAGGGGTGTTGCTAAAACGAGGAACGGAAAACGGAACGGAAAACGTATTATATTTTTTATTTTAGACTAAATCACTTCAAATACACAAATTTATAAACAATATATATTTTATAAATTCAATCCCCCATTTTTTAATTCGAGTTGATTTATTCGTGTTCATAAAATCTCTTATTCACGAAAATCGCAGTCATAGCAGTGACGTAAAAACAATTTTGAAAGGGTCGGGGGTAAAATTAAACTTACCTGAAAAGAATATTTGCCAAGCGAAAAAGAAGACGATTGTTTGATTCTGGGGAAGTGGGATAATAGTAAACTCCAGCATCTTTCATTTTCTTAAACTCCTTTATGGAGTATTTTGTGTAATATCTCCTGTTAGTATTTTTAAAAGATTGTACCAATTTAAAATTGGCAGAAAGCAAACAACTTAGTGAAGGCTCAAATTTTATATGTTCAAGTCTCAAAATTTATATGAATGATACTGAGAGTCCGTTTGAATTTAAATACTTGTAATTTCCCTTTTATTAATTAAAAAGATACTAACTTACTGAATACAAAATGTAAGGAACATGAATATTCATATGATTGTTTAAAAATTGCAAGTAAGCTTTTTTCATTTCTAAACAATTGGCAAAATGCTTATCCTCATATTAAGGGTAATTTCTGACAATTTAGTTTAATTTAATTCTTAATTTTAATATTTTTCAATCTTAATTATTATTTCAAAGAAAATTGTTACATGTTTCAATATCTAACATAAATTGTTTATAATTTAAAGTACTATATTTGACTTTGTAACCCATTTGAGTTTGAGCAATTTTTTCAAAAATTGGCAATTTGTAAATCCCCATATCTCAATTATTTATTATATCCCAAGCTCAATATTTTGCAAAGATAATGTTTAGAGTTATATTTGTACAATAAAATCAAAAAAATTAATTTCAAAGATTGGTCTTGGAAGATTTGGGGCATTAAATTTGTAATGCTTTTGGCAATTCTTGAAAATTGGCATCATGCCAATTTTCAAGAGTTGTCTGCCCTTTGATATATTGCATATTTGATTATGATAAATGTCAATTTTGAAAGAACATAGTCTTATGTTACTTAAAAATACCTTAATGGAAATGCAAGTTTAATTTTGAGTAAAATAAATCAAATGTGAATTTTACCATTTTTCTTGAATTTTTTAAGTACTTGTACTTAAATGTGCAAAAAGGAGTTGGCGCTGCCTACGGCTGCCATGTTGAATGATGGGAATTTTTTTTGGCCATTTTTGAATAACATATTATAAAGTCAAACTACCCACCAAATTTCATTAAGATATGACAACCTTCGATTTGGACAATTCTGCATGGTTTTCTCGCGGACTGACTCTTAAGTAGAGTGTACATGTACATGTATACTACAGGCAGATACGCGGAAAATGTAATTTTAGAATTTTGACCTATATATATTCCCATTTCCTCACACAGGGGAGAGTTTCAGAAGTTTGGGTTATTCATTCAGTGAATAGCTCATAACACCCTAAGCAGTATCATTCCAGATGTTTGTACCGCCCTGTTCAATGCCCTTAAAAATGTGCATCTCAAGGTAAACATAGACATGCTGATTAGTCAATAAACCTTTGAAAATAAAAAAAAATTGTGGAAAAGTATACACTGTGTCAAGTTAAATATGCTAATTACTGATCACAGGTGTAGCACAAACAGACTCAAGATTTTTTTTCTTCTGACACCATGTAGCACAAACAGACTCAAGATTGAAAATGGATCGGTTACCGCCGCCACCCGGACTTAACCTTACTGGAAACTTAGCGGAGAACTGGAGAAGATTCCAACAGCAGTACGATGTTTACGGAGCGTTAATTGATAGCATAGGAACAAAGTCCAGGGGGATGATATACGTGTTAGGAACGCCATTGATGTTCTACAACACATTCACGTGGACGGGAGACGACGATAAGACTAAGGTAGCAGATATCAAAAAGAAATTTAAGGAATATTGCAATCCTAAGAAAAATGTAACCTATGAGAGACACATATTTTAATCACGAAATCAGAAGGAGGGAGACCCGGTCGACGCATTTGTCTTTTAAACTCAAACAAAAGGCAAGTGTATGTGAATTTGGTGAACTGAGAGATTCTTTAATAAGAGATCGAATCGTTTGTGGAATTCGAAGTGATACTGTGCGTGCCAGATTGTTAAGAGAACGAGAACTCACACTGCAGAGTGCCATAGACATTTGTAGGGCAGCGGAAGTTTCGGAATTTAAAAAATGGGAGAAGAGAAAAACGTTCACGCAGTCAGAGACAAAACAGAGGTATTAACAGAAGGATGCTCAACCCCAGCATAAAGGTCAGTGTAAATATTGTGGATTAGATCATTTTAAGGGGCCAGATCATTGTCCAGTTACGGAAAACATGTTATAAGTGTAAACAGATGAACCATTTAATCATGTGCAAGAAGATGCGGACACATCCCGTGAAACAGAGAAACCCGAGGAAAGCAAAAGTTCATCATATTGAAGAGAGCCGAGAAGACTCAGATGATGACTTTTTCATGTATTCAGTTGACACACACAAGGATGATGATTGGACAGTAAAGCTACTAGTCAATGATGCAATACCTATTAACTTTAAAATTGATACTGGAGCCAAGTGCAATGTCATGAGTTTAAAAGCGTGCAAGTATGCCAACATTGACACTAAACAACTAATGCGTAGCAACAGTAAACTAGTTTCCTACTCTGGACATGCTATGAGAGCCTGTGGAAAAGTACGTACATCAGTGAGACACAAGGACCAGTATTTTCTTCTAGAAATACAGATTGTTAATGATGACGTCCAACCTGTTCTTGGACTCAAGTCCAGCACTGACTTGAATTTAGTGAATCGTGTGTATACAGTGAAGAAGAATCAAAGTACTAAAAGTGCGGAAGGACTGTTGAAAGAATATGATCATTTATTTCATGGAATTGGATGTCTTCCAGGAAAATATGACATCAAGGTTGATTTCAGCATACCACCGGTAGTTGCGCCACCTCGGAGAATACCACATACTTTGAAGGACAAAGTTTTAGAAGAACTACAGAGGATGGAATCGATGAAGATAATCTCGAAAGTGGAAACCCCAACTCAGTGGGTCAGCCCTATTGTAGTCGTCAAGAAACCAAATGGGAAAGTCAGGATTTGTTTGGATCCGCGAGAACTGAATAAGGCTATTTTAAGGGAACACTATCCACTTAAGACCGTCGAAGAAGTGGTTGCTAACCTTAAGCATGCAAAGCATTTCAAAACTCTGGATGCCGCTTCAGGATTCTGTCAAATACAGCTGACCGAGGAGAGTTCGTGGTTCACCACATTTAATACACCCTTCGGAAGATTTAAGTTCGAGAGACTTCCGTTTGGAATATCGTCAGCGCCCGAAGTGTTTCAGAGAGCCATGTCTCATGTATTTGAAAATCAGCCTTGTGAAGTGATTGCAGATGACATTTTGATGTGGGCAGATAGTGAACAGGAACACTTAGAAAAACTCAGTCAAATACTGAAGAGAGCTGAGGATGTCGGATTACGTTTCAACAAGGACAAGTGCAAAGTAAACAAATCAGAAGTTGAGTATGTAGGACATGTTTTCAGTTCAGAAGGTGTGAAGCCCAGTGGTGAAAAAATCAAAGCAATTTTAGCAATTCCAGCACCAGAAAACAAGAAGGAATTACAGCGATTCATGGGGATGATAAATTACTTAGGAAAGTTTATTCCAAACTTGTCTACCAGGAACCAATCACTCAGACAGTTGCTAGAAACCGATGTTGCATGGCACTGGAATTACGAACAGGAAAAAGCCTTTAATGATCTTAAAGCCTATAACATCAACGCCGACATTGAAATATTTCGACGTTAATGAGGATGTCAAACTTTCCGTTGATATGGACTTGGTGCGTGCATCATGCAGAAGGAGCAACCTGTGGCTTATGCATCAAGAGCCTTGAATACAGCTGAGAGAAACTATGCACAAATCGAAAAAGAGATGCTTGGAATCGTGTATGGACTACAGAAATTCAACGAGTATGTGTATGGTAAAACAGTGTTAGTGGAAACAGACCACAAACCACTAGAGAGCCTGTTTAAAAAACCATTGTCTAGTGCACCTCCACGACTTCAACGTATGATGTTGAAAGTTCAGCAACATGACTTAGTGGTGAAATACAAAGCTGGCAAGGAACTCTACATTGCGGACACATTGTCAAGATCAACAGGATCAGATCCAGCTGAAGAGCAGGAGGAACAGTATGAAGTTCATGTTATAGAGACTATTCCTGTGAGTCAGGAAAAGGTGATGTTATTTCAGAGTGAAACCAAAAAAGACCCTGTTCTCATGAAACTGAAGGACACAGTTCTACAGGGATGGCCAACAAACCGGAAGGATTTAGACAGTGAACTTACTCCATACTGGAACTTTAGAGATGAGATAAGCATTGTTGATGGCTTATTGTTAAAAGGAGATCGTATCATTACACCAGAGCAACTTAGACCCCAGATGTTGAAAATTCTGCACAGCAGTCACCTGGGACAAGAGAAATGTATACAGCGAGCTAAATCAACATTGTTTGGGCCAGGAATAATCATGCAGTTGAAGGACATGATAGAACAGTGCAATATTTGCAACCGCTACAGGAATGCGCAGCAAAAGGAGCCAATGATACCACACGACATCCCAAATCGTCCTTGGCAGAAAGTTGCAGCAGACATTATGTTTTTTGGGAATGCAAGATACTTGATAACCGTTGACTACTTCTCGAAGTTCATAGAGATCAACCGCTTACAAGATGGGAAAGCCGCCACCGTTATCGACATTCTGAAGCAACACTTTGCTCGACTAGGAATCCCTGAAGAGTTCATTAGTGACAATGGACCTGAATTCGCAAACCATGAATTCAAAAACTTTTCGAAGGAATATGACTTCCGTCATATTACATCTTCGCCGAGATATCCACAGAGCAACGGTATGGCTGAAAGAGCTGTGCAGACCATCAAAAATCTGTTTAGGAAGGCACAGGATGACCACAAGGATCCGTATATTGCGCTCATGGAGTTGAGGAATTCAGAAATACCAGGAGTGAAACTTTCACCAGCACAGCTTCTATTTGGACGAACCACAAGGACGCTCGTACCAACCGTCAAATCCAAATTGCGACCAATGGGATTTAACTCAGAACTTGTTCGCGAGGAACTCCAGAACATTAAAGATGCACAAAAGTCTCTTTACGATCGCAACTCAAAACCTCTTAAACCACTTGACAACGGAGATGTGGTACGTGTTAGGATTCCAGGACAGTCTATCAAAACACCAGGAAGAATCGTTAGACCTGCAGAAACACCGAGATCGTATTTCGTACAACAAGGGAATACCACCGTGAGGAGGAACCGCAGAGACCTTATCAAAACGAAAGAACTGAGCACAGAACAACCAGTAGATACCGAAGAGTCTGTTAACGGTCACTGTGATTCGTTTTGTGATAACTCTAACCGTGTCAATGGTCCGTCTATCAATTCTGGAGACGAAACAACTAGTGTTACCACATCGAGTGGTCGGGTGATCAAAGCACCTCGCAGGCTGGTGACGGAGTGTTAATTCAAACAGTTAAAGTGAATTTCTGAATCTGATGTGTACATTCATTGTTCAGTTTTGTAGTTCAGTTTTGTTAGTTGTAGTAAAACAAAAAAGTAAGAATATTGAGAGCTGTTTTATTATAATGATAAAATGCAAATTTATTTCAAATGTAATTTTAACAAACATTTTGCAGTTAACTTAAAAGGGGAGATGTGACATTATCTGTATCTAAGAACAGTAACTCTTATACATGGTGTCAGAAGAAAAAAAATCTTGAGTCTGTTTGTGCTACAATAGGTACCATCTTCTGAAGCCGAGTGGGAGAATGTTGCTAGGGAGTTTATGGAAAGATGGAATTTCCCCAATTGCCTCGGAGCTATGGAAAACACGTTGTCTTTCAGGCTCCATTCAAAAGTGGCTCATTCTACTTTAATTACAAAAATACACATAGTGTTGTTTTAATGGCTTTGGTTAATGCCAACTATAAATTCATATACGTAGATGTTGGCAGCAATTGGAGGGTGAGTGACGGTGGAATATTTAGGGATTGCACCCTGCGCAGTGCCATGGAAGACAATTCTTTGAACATGCCGGGCCCAAAACCTCTTCCTGGGAGAGAGAGGGACGTCCCTTATGTTATTGTTGGGGATGAGGTATTTCCACTTAAAGAGTACCTAATGAAGCCCTACCCTCAAAGATCAGGTCTTGATGATAAGCAGAGAGTATTTAATTATAGGTTGTCAAGAGCCCGCAGAATCGTAGAAAATGCATTTGGGATTTTGAGCAATAGGTTTAGAGTACTGAGATCCCCAATTCTGCTTTCACCAGAAAAAGTGGAAATCATGGTACTGTGCTGCTGCGCTCTTCATAATTTTGTGCGGCCCGATTTTCAAAATGCGGCTACCGAGTGTGAGACGCCCCGGGAGATTGGCACAGGAATGGTCAGTTTGTCTAGTCAAGGATACCCCAGCAGTCAGAATGCCCGAGACATCCGTGATGAATTCAAGGAGTATTTCTGCACTAATGGACAAGTACCGTGGCAAACAGCTACTTAAGTACGTCTTTTACAGTATGTTCCTTTAAAACATTCTATAAAGTTATTAATAAGTAAAAGAATAACGAAATAAATACATCAGTAATTCTAGACAAATATTTACTGTTTTTTAGAAGAGATAATACTACATCAAAACATGCAGATATAATAAAAACAAATTTTCTTTTTTAAAATCTATCGGGGTTAATGTTTGCAATCGTCATAGAAGTGTATCGTTAGTTCGTTACAGCCCTTGAGTAAAAATGTAAAGTGTCTAATTCCGTCTTCGGATGCTGTGGTTTGATTGTAATTAAACTGATAATTTTGAGGCATAAATTGCTGTTGATTTTGCTGTAAAAAAGAAACCTGCGTTTCGCATATCAAATTTTGAATTTTGTTTTTTAGAACACATTTTTGGATGGTATTTGGCATGGACATTAGGGATCAGCGAACGTATTTACCGAAAACTACATCATCAGATTCTTGATCTTCGTCAGGTTGATTCAAGCAGTCTATGGCTTTTTGGAGTAAAAGATCCGACTGACTCTTTTTACAAATGTCCTTTTTTTTCAGAGGTGTAGAATAATTTTCTGATGCTGTAACTTCCAGAAAGCTGTCATCTTGATCCATATCAGTTGAAGGCTTGAAAAGGAATTATGATTTTTATGTCAAATTAATCGATATAAATTATGACATATCAAAAGCAATTAAGCAACAAATGTAAATGTCAACAGATCTCATGCATTAGCTAAATAATATATGGGAAAAAAATAAATGTATAGTCCTACAATGTTAGATTTTGACTTCCTTTTCTTCACATGGGGTTTTAAAAATCTATCCAAGTGCTGAAACATCGGCCATTTACTCTCGTAAATTTCCTCTGTCCCTGAACCACTTCTTTTTGAATCCTCAACTTTGTTTAATTCCTTCCTGTAGTAAGTCCTAAGATTGTTGATTTTCTGTTGAATTTTGTCTACTGCAATAAATGTTATTGAAATATAGATAAGAGGACGACTACTATATAAATAGTATTTATAAACAATTATGTATAACCTCACACAAACAGCTCAGGATAATTGAAAATAATTTAATTTTATTTGTATTCTCGCCTCTCATTGGTTGATTTCCAAAAAGGAACGCATAACATTTTGTATAATCTGGTTTGGTATGGGGACACACCCCCTTGACGACCAGCTTAATCATCATATCCATGCAATCCCCTCATTTCCAGTCCTCGGAATCCATGGAAAATTCCAGATTTAATAAATGTACCTTCAACTTTAAACAATTACTCGTTCTTACCTCATGTAAACAAACATCATGGCTGCAAGATCTATGTATCAGTTATTACCTCCCCTCGCTTCAAATCACTTCCGTTACTACGGTTGTATTATTGCGCGGTAAATTTGAACTTATAAAAAGCAACACAATTTTACATCAAAAGTTGTTTAATTAAAAGAGATATAAAAAAGCCTAAATTTCTCATTTTTGGAATGACCTTGACCTTTTACCTTTACATGAATTTTAAGGTCAAAGGTCAATTAATCTTATACAGTTGGTCCCATGTCTCTACGTCTTCTCGTTTTGAAAATTTATAATCATTCCTAAAATTCATAAAGTTTCAGGGGCAATAACTCATTGAAGGGTCAACGAATACTTTCGCAATGAATCATTGAAGTGTCTACTAAATTAGTCAAAAACAATAGTGAAGGTTTCATTTCTCTACGGTTTATGGTTTTGGAGGAGTAGTGATAACAAACTTTTTTGCGAAAGGGGTAATAACTCTGAAAAGGGTTAAAGTTTATTTACGCAGGGTCAACTGCAAAAATCTTTTACGGAGTACATTCCAATCAACTAAAAATCTTTTCAATAAATCTTGAAACTCAAAATCACACGGCGGAAAAATAATAAAAAACTAGGAGACTTATTGTTCACAGAACAATAAGAGGTCTTTCCACCTTTTTAAATTTCTTATAGTTTTATATTTTACTCTCTAAATTTAATTTTAAGGGAAATGGCTTGAAAAAAAATGAAAATGTAAAAAAAAAATTTTTTTGAAATAACCTTGTCCTTTGACCTTGAAAAAAATTTCAAGGTCAAAGGTCAAGGGTCATATTGCAATTAACCCATGCTTCTACTATTTATAGTTTTCAAGATATAAGGTTTAATAGTAAGTATAAAGAAGTTAAAGGGCAATAACTCATATAAGGGGTCATCTGATTCTTTTGCACTTATACAGTGAAGTTAGGCCTAAAGATCCTTAAGACATTAGTGAAGGTTTGGTGTCTCTAGGGTCTACAGTTTCGGAGGAGTAGCAATAACAAGGTTTTTCTCACAAGGGGCAATAACTTTTAAAAGGTTTATTCTTAGGGGACAAGAATAAAATCTTGGAAACAGTTTTAAGAGTACGTATTAATGATGCATAGACATTAAATATATGTTGAAAGACAAAAGAGATACAAAGAGCTAATTTTCTCATTTTTGGAATGACCTTGACCTTTGACCTTTGCATGATTTTTAAGGTCAAAGGTCACTGAATCTTATGCAGTTGGTCCCATGTCTCTACGACTTCTTGTTTTGAAAATTTTTATTTATTTGTAAAATTCAAAAAGTTCCAGGGGCAATAACTCATTGAAGGAGTCTCCGAATGCTTTCGCAACGAATAGATTGAAGAGTCCCCTTAATTAGTCGAAAACACTAGTGAAAGTTTCATACCTCTACGGTTTACGGTTTCAGAGGAGTAGCGATAACAAGCATTTCTTGCAAAAGGGGCAATAACTTCGAAAGGGGTCAAGGTTCATTTACGCAGGGTGAACTGCAATAATCTTTTATGGAGTACATTCTTATGGACTATAAATCTTTTCGATAAATCTTCAAACAAAAAAACATGCGGCGGAAAAATAATAAATGAGAAAAATAATAACTAGGAGACTTATTGTTCACAGAACAATAAGAGGTCTTTCCACCTTGTTTGAATTTCAAATTTGTTTTATTCCTGACTCTTTAAAATTAAATTCCATGAAAAAGAAACCAAAATTGTCTTAAATCATAGAAAAAATGAAAATAAAAAAAATGGAATGACCTTGACCTTTGACATTGAAAAAAATATTCAAGGTCAAAGGTCAAGGTCACAAAGCAATTGACCCCATGCTTCTACGACTTATAGTTTTCAAGTTATAAGATTAAATAGTAAGTACATAGAATTTAAAGGGCAATAACTCATATAAGGGGTCATCAGATCCTTTTGCACTTATACAGTGAAGTTAGGCCTAGAGACCCTTAAGACATTAGTGAAAGTTTTGTGTCTTTACGGTGTACAGTTTTGGAGGAGTAGCGATAACAACGTTTTTCGCACAAGGGGCAATAACTTTTAATATCAATTCTCTGTAATTATCAAAATTGGTTGGCCACGCATAGAAAAACATTTTGATTTTTTTATTATAATTTTAAAGAGCTATGTCATTAATTGTAAAATCTAAAGTGGGTTTATGAAATAGACCCTTGGTTGCCATAGAAACGGGGTGCAATATTCTCAATTTCGTTAATTTTGAAAAACGTGTACTTATCAAGAAAAACTGTGTCCAGAAATGAAAAGGGATAACTTAATATGTTTTCATTATTTAAATTTAATCCTACAGATTAAAGTAATTATATCTGTAGTTTTAATTTAATCTCTCAATAGTAAATGGCCATTTTACATATTATAACATATCAGATATGTGATTGGTTTAGTGGAGTTTTTGGAGGCTTAAAAGTTCCAAGGGCAATAACTCATTGAAGGGGTCACCGAATACTTTTGCAATGAATAGATTGAAAAGTCCCCTTAATTAGTTGAAGACATTGGTGAAGGTTTCATACCTCTATGGTTTACGGTTTCAGAGGAGTAGCGATAACAAGCATTTCTTGCAAAAGGGGTTATAACTCCGAAAGGGGTCCAGATTCATTTACGCAGGGTCAACTGCAAAAATCTTTTATGGAGTACATTCTT